GTGTTCTAAAACCGTCAGGGCTAACATTTCTCCTGCTGAGCGGCGGCTGTCGATGGCCGCGGAAACGTCCTTCAGCCGCTCACTTAATCAGAGGGATCAGCCAAGATCCGTCTGGGCATGCCTTCCACCCAGAAGCCCCGGGGTCCCCTCTGCAGGTGGCGAGCCAGCTGCCTGGTGAGCACCAAGTGGGCTCCCCGAATCGGCTTGAGCAAACAGTTTGTCCAGAGCATGAAAATAGATGTGGCGAGGGCGCGCCGCTCCCCAGGGTCAATGGGCAAAGCCTCCACAGTCACAGCTGGAGCTGGAGCTGGAGCTGGAGCTGGAGCTGGAGGCCCACCGGGTCTGCTGGTGGCATGGCCCCAAGCACCTCACCAAACACTCTAAGCCTCTGAGTCTGGGTCAATGAAATGGGGGTAAAAACACTCCCCTCCCAGGCTCGTGTGGAGACGAAAGGTGGAATAAGCAAAGGGTCTGGCATCCATTCACTCATTTCAGCGTGGCCTGGCCACGGTGAACACTCAGCCATCTGCCCTCCAGTGTCCTTGCAGCGTTTCTGTGGTGGGGCCCCATCATGATGCAAGAGCGAGGGCGGCACGGGAAGACCGTTCTAGGAAACCAAGAGAAATCATTTATGGGTCCAGACCAGTGGGCCACTCATTTCCATGCGCCATAACGCCCTCCCCTCCCCAAAAGACAGGGCCACCCAGAGGAGCAGGAGCCAGCCAAGGGCTGAGGACAGCGATGTTGCACGCAGTGGGGTCCAGTGCAGAGGACACCCTCCCCATGCAAAAGCACATGCCGTCCCATCACGAGAAGAAAGCTGCTACCCCACCTACGGGCCATGTAGTCATGGAAAAGCGGGACGCGGGAGAGAAGCTGGGACTTCCTCCCACCTGCCCCGTCCACACAGGGAACCCGCAGGAACAAGTCGCTGTCTCCTACCGTCTGAACAGCCCCACGGGGCAGTGATGGAGGGAGGGAAGAGGCACTCTTTGCTGAGTGCCCACCATGACCTGGGCATTCTGCAGAAAGCCCTGCACACCTCACCTCAGCTCTCCCTCAACAGCCCACCAGCCAGGTTGTCAGCCCCTCCCACAGACGCAGAAACAAGGCTAAGGGACCCGCCCGAGGACACTCGGCCGCCTCTGCATCCCACCCACGCTCTGGCACACGTGTGCCCCCAGCGCTGGGAAGGGTGTCCCAGACGGGCTGGCGCACAGTGGTAGAGCTGACGGTGGCACAGGAAGAGCAGGGAGTCTGCCTAGCCAGGGCATGGGCTCCAGGGGGAGGACTGTCTTCTTCACCTCAGAGGCCACTACAACCAGGCTGGGGTGATAGGAGGGCTGGTCTGTGCTAGAAGCCACACCGCCTGGACCTGAGCGAGCCCGCCAAGGACGGGGAGGAGACGGGCTGATGTGGCAAGCAGGACGCTGACTCATAAAGCAGGCGACATGCGGGTCCTGGTGGAACTGGCCAGCGTTCCCTGAAGCCACCTCAGCCTAATGCACCAGAGACGTTTTGTTAGGAAGATTACAGACTGAAACGAGAGCATCAAAAATAATTAATCTGTGAGCGGATTTTATTTAAGTGTTGATTCATGGTTGCTCTATAAGCCAGTGGCCCGTCAGAACTATAAATTAACGAGATAAAATGTGGCTGGACCTCCATATTTCAGGCCGGGTATTGACGTTTTAGAATCCACAGATTTTTAACGGTATTGATTGAGGACACCAGGATAAATGGTCTTGGCGCCAAATTCCCATTAACGACAATGGGCACCGAGTGACTAATTCCCGGAGCACTGCGGAGAGGACGCCCTGCGTTGCCTTCTCCTGGCAGGGAGTTCTAATTAGATTAAAATGAAAAAGCCACATCACCAAGGGCAGAGCAAGTGAGGAGGGAGCGCACTCAGTGACGAGAGAGGGCAGGACATGGGACCAGGCCGAGAGCCAGAGGCGCTGCAGACACCCACCTGACTCGGCTGAAGAGGGCACCCGAGTAAGGGGCTCCCAGCGCAACCCGAGTCAGGGGATGAGGGCAAACAGGGCAGAGCACCCACCCCACCCTGACGGCCCCTGGTGTTTGACTGCCCAGCAAGGGCCAGACTCAGCTCTGTCTCATCCATCAGCCCTGGCTCCATGGTGGACCACAAAGACCACCAGGACAGGCCTCAGCCCCAAGAGCTCTAGCCAGGGAGACGGACATGAAAACCAACAACCCCTCAGCCAGAGAGGCCCCATCTAGGGGCTGAAGGGCTTTCTCAAGCGTGAAACCCAACCCCTCGTCCCTACCCCGCCCCCCAAGGGACAAAGGACATCCAACATGCTCACCACTGTAGCCCAGCACCAGGTCTTGTTCACAGTAGGTGCTCAATAAGCGCCGAATGAAGGAAAGTGGTCCTTTAACCCAGGTGGTTCGTGCCATTCCCCGAAGAGGGGGTGCGTGGAAAAGTCCCCATCACCTCCCAGACTAGATGGCAACGCTCTGAGGGCAGGGCCATGCCCTCCCTCTGCCACTGGGCAAACCACAGCTAGTGGGGCACACAGGGCGGGGCCAGACAGCTTCCCTCCAGCCACAGCTCCACCAACAAGGGCCAGGCAGCTGCCTCCCCTCCTTGGGCCCCAGACACACCCAACCAGCTGCCGCTACCAGGAAACCTGCCCGGAGCGCTCCAGCCTCAGCCGGCAGCCTCCTACTGCCACCTGCTGTGACAGTGCCTGACTTATCAGGCAGGAGGACTGGAAGTCTATAAATTTCAGAACCTCCCCCCCCCCTCACACACACACACACACACACACACACACACACACACACACACCAACAGTGTCTGTTTATCTGCTTAACATCTGTTGATTGAGAAGATAGAGCTTGACAAAGGGCCACTAGGAATCCAATAATGTTATCAAATAAACTTGTATTGGATTAACCCGGCATCACCAGGCTATGAAAAGCATCACCTCACTCCGCAGGCCGGGCGGGTGGGCAGGCGGGTGGGCAGCGGCACCCATGGTCCTTAGTGACCCTGCAGTGAGGAGCAGCGCCTGAGGAATGTGCATCCCGCCGATCTGAACTTCATGACGCTCAGGCTCCATTTCTGCACCCAGCTCCCTACACCCCACATTTCCACTCATGCCAGACAGTTCATGCTCCTGTGACCACTCTGTCCTTGCTGTTCTGTCTGCTAGAACCCACTTTCCTCCCACTCAACCACGCCCCTGCACCCTGATTCTCTGCCCCTGATTCCTGCCTCAACTCAGGTTCCTCTTCCCCCAAGAAGTCCTCCTTGATCTTCCAGGCTAGACTTGCTCATAGCTCCTGTGTCTCACTGCCTCACTGTGGCCTGGGTTCTCTCTGCACTGCTGTGGCTCCCAGCAGCCAGGAGCTGGTCCAGGGTGGGTCCTGGGTCTTGTTTACCCCTCTGTCTCCGATACTGAGCATGGCTTATCGGACGCACAGGCCACAGAGTACAAGGTCAGGTGGAAGGCTCGGAGCCTGGCAGGCCTGCAGGCACCCTGACTCTACCTCCTGCCTCGTGCCTCTGGATCAGGGTGTGAAAAAGGGATTCTGGTGGCAGCAGCCTCTAAGGGTGAGTGGGGCCTAAATGAGGCCCATGTGTAAGTCCTGGCACGCAGTGGGTACTCGGTGACAGTACCTGCTGCTGTCATCCCTGACCCATCGGCGCTGTCACCAAGTGGCACCAAACTCCCTGAGCCCTGGCTCCCTCCTCAGCCCTGGGGCTCCTGGTAAGACCACAGACGGTCAGGGAGACACTCAGCTGAGAAGAGCCACGCCGTCCATGTGGCCCTGCGGAAAGGGCACAGGCTCTGCAGTTGCACAGACAGGGCTCAAGTCCCCATATGACACCCACCAGCGGGAGGCCCTGAGCAAGCTCCTCATCCTGTTAGCCTGTTTCCTCACCTGTGAAATGGAGAAATAATCGCGGGCAGCAGCCGAGGCGCAGAGCGACATGTCATGGGCACAGGCCCAGCTGCTGACACGACCGCCGGTCACATGACCACCCTCCCTGAGGGCATGGGGCTCAGTCAGAAGCGCTGCAAGGCTGCCCCTCTGCAACCCAGGGCACGAGGACACTCGATGGGGGGGGAGACAAACCCCACATTTGCCCCTAACCACCACTGCCTGCCCTCCCTGCACCTCCTCCAAGCTCCTGGGGAGAAGCTGGGTGTCCAACCCCAAAGTTACTACCCCCACTTGCTGGGCCCCAGGAGAGGCACAGACCCCAGCACCACCACTGCTGGGCCAGGCAGGCGGGGGCTGCCCCAGAGTTCAAGGGACCCCCAGGGCCTCCCCTCTTGGCTCTGGCAGTGGTGCCCAGCAGAAGAGTGACCCAGAAGCCCAGGGAGGAGAAGGCAGCACCCCGGGGGTCGGGGCAGAGGTCTGAGCCCAGCTCCGCACTCCCCGGCCTGACCTCACCTGGAAACCACGGCAGGAGGTCGGGCTGTGGCTGGACTGGGGGCTAACAGTGCCGGCCGCGCAGCAGGGCTGGTGACGAAGTTCCCTCGCTGACTTCCGTCGCCTTCTCGCCCTGCTTGTCAAGAGCCCCCTTCGGGTTTGCCCAGCCCGGCTCCCTCTCGCCCAAATGCCTTTTCAGCGCGGGCATTAAAGCGGAACTCGTACGCAGACTCGCCCTACGCGCTGGAATCATTCCTTACAGCTTTCAACGATAATGAATTGACAGGAATTCTAAACTGATTCCGACCAAAGGACACGGTGATAAAGCTGAATCTATTTCAGGACAAATTACATGTCAGAAGTTGATTAAAAAGCCACCTCTTTATCCAGCCCACAGCGTGGGGCTGAGACAACCTTGGGGCTCTGTCCTCCAGGCGGGCTCCTCCTCGGAGGAGGAGAGGCCTGGGTCCAGGCCCGGGCCCCCCTCCCACAGCCCCGACACCAGCCCAGACCCGGGGAGGGCTTCCCAGGGGAAAGCTGGCTCCAATACCAGAAGGGATGCCGTGGGTGACAACAGAGAAACGCACCTGTTTCAAGGTCGGTGAGGTGCAGAGCGCAGTCGAAGCCACCGCTGAGGATGCGCTGGCCGCAGGGAGACCACCGAGCAGCCCGCACCGCCTCACTGTGCAGAGAGTAGGTCTGCAGGCATCTCCCCGAGTCCACCGCGTTCCACACCTGCGGGCAAGCACAGTGCAGACGTCAGAAATGGGCCCTGCCTGCCCTAGCCGGTTTGGCTCTGTGGATAGAGCGTTGTCCTGCAGACTGAAGGGTCCCAGGTTCGATTCTGGTCAAGGACACATGCCAGGGTTGCGAGCTCAATCCCCAGTAGGGAGCATGTAGGAAGCAGCAGATTAATGATTCTCCCTCATCATTGATGTTTCTATCTCCCTCTCCTTTCCTCTCTGAAATCAATCATCAATATATAGATAAGGCTAATATGCTAAGTGTCCCTCCTACTGTCCAACTATCGCTATGACACGCACTGACCACCAGGGGGCAGATGCTCAACGCAGGAGCTGCTGAGCTGCAGTGACTTGGCAGTGGCGGTTCTTGAGTGTCGTACCCCCATGCCAGGGTTGCGAGCTCAATCCCCAGTAGGGAGCATGTAGGAAGCAGCAGATTAATGATTCTCCCTCATCATTGATGTTTCTATCTCCCTCTCCTTTCCTCTCTGAAATCAATCATCAATATATAGATAAGGCTAATATGCTAAGTGTCCCTCCTACTGTCCAACTATCGCTATGACACGCACTGACCACCAGGGGGCAGATGCTCAACGCAGGAGCTGCTGAGCTGCAGTGACTTGGCAGTGGCGGTTCTTGAGTGTCGTACCCCGAAACCAGAGAGGAAGGAGCCCAATTCCTCGCGGGGCCCTGATTCCACCTTCGGCTGTGGTTTATGTTGTTACGGGAGAACTGTCAGCCCTGAATCTGCACACTTGCATTTGCGTTCCACGCCCTGTACGGCAGCAACTTTGCAGAGTGCCCTCTTGCACTCCGGGACCCCTCAGGGGATGTCAGAGAACCAGTTTTGGCCCAATCCCCACAGGCCAGGCCAAGGGACCCCACCGGCCAGAGGGACCCCACTCACTCCACAGACAATGGGGAAGGACCACAGGAGGTTGGCTCCAAGGCGTATCCGGCCCATCTCGCCCAGTCCCGCCTGCCAACCACCTTCTAATTACTTTCCTTTCAATGTGCATGAATCCATGCACCAGGTCACTAGTAAAAACATATTTTTTTAAAATTATTTTAAAAAAAGAAATGGGCCCCAGCCAGGGAGAAGGGTCTTGCAGTGGAACTAGATTCCCTTCAGTTTACCATCAAACCAGATCTGGAAGCTAAACTTCTCCTGTATAAAGGCAAAGGCTTGGGGCTGGTGAGTTGAGAGGAAGCTTTCCCCAAAAACTTTTCTGGGGTTCAGGAAGCCCACAAGAAAACAGTATGCCCCAAGTTCTGCTGCTCAGCTACACACATTCCCTGTTCTACGCAGTCTCGCCTGCATCTCTGGCACCTCTCCTCCGAGATGGGACTCGCTCAGCCCCGTAGGGGACGCTGCACCAGGCCAGCCTCTCTTCACAGTCCTGCTTTAAGACCAAGAGCCAAACAAGAGCCTGTCACACCTGTGCTTACACGTCTGCCTGCAGGAGAGAAGGCACTGTCCCCATTCCCACCCTGGCTTTCCGTGGGAGAGTGAGGCCCGTGGCAGAAAGCCCCCGGTGCACTTGCTGACTTCTGACATACGCTACTAAGCCCTCAATATAAATTGTTCGTTCCAAGAGCCAGGGCCACAGGGTACATTGAGGGCCTGTGTTCAGCTGTCATCAGCTCGCCCAGGAAACTCCACCCGCTGCCACGGAGTCAGGAGAAAAGGCAGGCGTGCAGCCAGCCCAGGGCCTGGCCTCACCTACCACGCGCGGCTCCAAGGACTGAACACGGGAAGCAGGAAGAGCCCCTGCAGATCCCTGCAGCCGGCACAAGGGCGTCGGGCCAAGGGCCCCCCATGCTGCTGGCCCTCTGGGCCATGGTCTCCTCCTCCAGGAAGCGGGGATAAGACGAGCCCCATTCCGGGCAGTGGGGACCCTGCGGGCAGAGAGCGGCCTTGCTTCCTGGGGCTGGCAGGCACGCAGTCCTAGCAGCAGGGTTCCTGGATACTCTCTCAACAACACCCAGGAACCCACGCACACCCACAAACCTGACCCTAGAAAGAACCTCCCCTTTCACGATGAGAAAATTCATCCTAAAGCTTGGAAAGCACGTTTCCTGGGCTTGGAGGTCCAAGCGTAAGAAAACAAGAGGCCGAGAGCAGCCTTCCCAGAATGTTAAGAGAGCTCAGTCCCTCCTTCCCCCTAGGGAGCCAGGACCGGGCCTCAGACTGAAGAATCCCAAATAGCAGCATTGACATTCAGCAACACAGACAGGAACCCCGGGAGAAAGAGCCAGGGCCTTCAAAGTGGAGTGGATTCATGGCAGAGGGCAGAGTGCAGGCAACTGCTGTTTGTTTTTCAGTACTATGTACAAGTCTGACTTTAACAGAAAAAAAATACAGTAAAATTAATGAACTAAGATCCAAAGGCTAAACAGTAAAATATATATATATATATATAGAG